CTGGGCTCCCCTGCCTCAGTTTCCCCAAGCACAAAACCCCCTCCAGCCTCTCTGGGGCTCTATGAAGATGCAGGGGAAGCCCAGACGGTAGAGGGAGATGGGCATGGATGCACCTAAGGAGAGAAACGAGGGGCTGCAAGGACTCCTGGTCCAGGATAACACTCCCTTTCCCTCCTGCACCCCCAGCCTGCAGCTGCTCCCGACCCTACAAAAGCACAACCTGCCCCGAGCGAGCGCAGGGAGGTCTCTGCTTGCCCCGAAGGCTCCCTCCTCCCTTCCTGCAGCCGTTCTCTGCCAGCGACCGAGGTGGCACAGTCCCACGCACCGGCTGCCAGCGGTGCTGCCGGGACAAGCAGTGCCATGGGCTGCAGACCCCCTGCCCAAGGGGTGCTGCTGCTGGGGGGAGGGGGTGTGTGCATGTGTGGTGTGTATTTGCGTGCACATGAGGAGATGCGACGAGGAACAGGCTATCGCGTCGCTTGGGGACCCAATTGACCCTCTTTTCTGCCAGCTCCCCCATTTCTCAGCCCCACGGCTCAACAGGAGCCCCATTCCCTCCTGCATCCGAAGGATGCCTCCAAGGAGGCAGAAATGCCCCCCCCCGCCCAGCTCAGCGCCCGCAGGAGGCAGGGGAGGGCTGGGTGGGAGGTGCGGGGCTAATCCCCAAAGGGCTCCTTCCTAATCCTGGCTAATGGACTCTTTTCACCGTTGACAATGGAGTTATCCATCTGGAAGGGGATCTCTGGGCCCAGGAAGGCACAGCTGGCGGAGGCCGTGCCTGGCCAGGGAGGTTTGACCCCTCCACATCCTCAAACCGCTGCCTCCAGCCCCTTCCCTGGGCCAAAAATCCCAGCCCCCGCCTGCCCGGTGCTCCCTGCTGCGAGCATGGGTGCATGCACTGCTGCAGCCCTGCGTCCCACCCAGGGATGGTCAGATACTGCCACCAAGGAACCCAATAACCCCCTCCCCTCCCCTCCCCTCCCCTCCAAGCCTCGGACTGTAAAAGCTCCCCCCTGGGGCTTCCAGCTAGCTCCAGTTACTGCTCCTGTTACCGCTACCTCCTCCTTAAAGATATGGTCCCCCCTGGTCTGGGGGTGTCTTGGGGGAGCCCCATGGTTATGTTTGGGCTTCTCTTCGGTTTCTCTCCAGGCTGAGCCTCAGACCTCTCACCTCGCTGGATGGGTTCGCGCACAAACTCGCGCACCCGTGGGATGCAGCCGCCGAGGAGGCGGGGGTCTCGGTGCCAACCCCCTGCGACAGTGTCCTGCAAAGGGTGTCCGTGTTGGGTCTGCGCCTTGAGCCCACAGCGAGATGCTGGGGTGATGGCAAACACAAAACACGAACCTCCTTCTCCTTCTTCTCCTCCCCCATCCTGGGCGGCTTCCTCCTGACCTGCTCGCCCTGTCCCCCATTCCTGATGTCCCTCCCTGCCACCCTCTGACTCAGCTCCGAGGCTTCCCCGTCCCTCTTACATCCTCTTTGGGATGCACCATGCACCAGCCCAAGGTGAGGACGGCGCCAACGCGTTGTGTCTCATGGCAGCGATGTCGTGCTGGGGATGGGGACCGCCATCCCAGCTACGCTCGGACCAGCTCTACGGCACGCTGCGGGTTCGTGGAGAGCAGCCGTGCCGTCGGCATTCAGGTGGTGCCGTTCCTCTGCCCACCAAACCTTTTGGCATGAGCGGAGGCGGCGCTGGGGTCGTCCATCAGGCGCAGTGCACCGGCCACAGTGGGCAACGTGGATCCGGGCATGACCGAGCGAGAAAATCAGAGCAGAAAGGATCTGCTGTCGCAAGCTGAGTCACCTGCTCCGCCTGGCGCTGCCGAGCGGCTGGGGCCGGGTTATTTTGGAGAGCTGCGTGGGCAGATGCTGATAACACACTTTCTTCTTCCCTGGCAAATTCTTCCGCGCTGACTCTGTGCTGCAGCGGGGAATTAAAAGCGGGGATGCGCGGTGGGCGATGGGGCTGGCGCTGGAGTCTTCCTCTCGGCCCCCCCGTTTTGGGTGGTGGCTGCGGTTTCTGCGCTGATGGGCACAAGGTGCAGGTGAGAGCTGAGCACGTGCGCGCTCATCGCACCCATGGGCAGCAGCACCACCGTGGCTTCCCCCAACATCACCCTCCTGCCGCCACGCACCGACCCGACCCCGGCCCCGGCTGAAACCTCCGTGCTGGAGCATCCGGGGGGAGAAGGGCAGCGGGCATCACCCGCTGCAGAAGGCTCCTCTGAAGTGGTTTCAGGGCCAAAATTCACCGCCGGGCTGCGGTGTGGGTGGCCAGCAAGAGCCAAACACTCTGCGACGGCGTGGCGAGAGCCTCCCCCTCCGCGTGTCACAGCAGGGCTGCTGCCACATCGCGGGAACCGGCCACCATCACACCGACGTGGCTTATTTTTCCTCCTAAGGGACTCCAAAAAGCTCTGGCACCTTCTGCTTGCAGTTTGCTGCAAGATGGGCAGCAAAGAATGGACACATCCCTATTTTTTTCTTTTCTTTTTTTTGAAAGGCTGGAAAGCATCCTAGAAAGCTCCCTGATTATTTTGGCCCCCCGAACACCCCGCATCTCTCATCTGCTCCTGGGCACTTCCATGGGGCTACAAGCCCCCCCGGCAGAGTCCCCAGGGACCAGGCAGGGCGCTGGGTCCGGGGCGAGAGGGTTGTATTTTCACTAGGATCAGATTTACTTTGTCCACACAAAAGGTTTTTTAACCTTTCCCAATAAAATTCATTCTCCTGCTGTACGAACCGAGGTCCGGCCTCCATCCCACCTCCGCGGGGTCCTCGGGGGGGAGCCGGAGGAAGGGGCAGGTTTTCGCCGTAGTTTCTGATAATGGAAAAACCACAGCAGAAAACAAACTCGAGCAGAAAGAGAGGGACAAAGTCCCAAGCCGGGCCCAGGACTGCCCGGTCGTACGTGCTTTCCCATCCATTTTTTGCCTTCATTTGTTTGAGGCTTGCCTGTGCCCAACACCCAAACTGCTTTAAATAGGGCGCTTCGAGCATTTCCATCCCTTATTGTGCTCTGGGTGCAATTAAATTATGCTAACAGGATAAGCCCAGCTAATATAGCACTGAGCAAGCGCCGCGGCCGGTACCACGACCGCTCCTGATGGCCATGAGATGGGGGGACGTGTCTGAGCCCCGACGATGCTCCACCACTGTCCTGGGTGGTGGGGCTGAGCAGCATCCCAGGGGAAATCCCCCCCCCGGAGCGCGATCCACCGCCCCGAGCCCCTCTCGTAGGGCTGCCCTTTGTTTTCCCTGGTGCTGCTGCTGCTGCTTTTTTTTTTTTTCTTTTTTTAAATTCTGCCTAATACAATTTTAATGAGGCCGGGGCGCCTGCCAACTGTCGGGAGAGCCGCAGGAGAACCCTCTGCTGAGCTGCCTGGTGGCATATGGCAGTGAGGCCGGGGCAACCGGGCACCCCGGGGTGTCCCCCATGGCCACCAGAAGCGGCAAGGGACTCGTCGGGGACCCCCAGGGATGGGTCTGCGCTTGGGGCTTGCTCCCGGCAACGGTCCAGCGGTCCCCGATTGCAGGGTGGTTTGGGGGGGGGGGTTTGGGCTTCCCAGACCAGCCTTGGCCATCTCACAGCCACTGCCACCACCATAAAGGACATCGACACCCCTGGGACAGCTGCCTACACACGCCAGCGACACCAAGCTGGGGTTCGTGGGGATGCCGGGGGGGAACGGGCAGCTGTAACCCAGTCTGTGTCCCATGTGCTGCTGGGGATGAAAACCTGCCCAGCAGCCTCCTCGCAGCGAGCCCCCAAAATTGCTCCACCAAAGACGAGGAGGGCTGAGGCCAGGCCGGCAGAGCTGAGACGTGGCTTGAAGGCAGAAGACAACCACGCTCCGAGGGGTGACCCGGTGGCACTGGCTCCAGACACGCTGTGACACAGCGGTGACCCAACGGGCTGCGTGTGCCGGAGGAGAGGGCTGGAGGCACAGCCCAGAGCATCCCCCGGCTGCTGCGCCTTGGGCTGGTGCCTCCATCGCCGTCCCATTGTGCCCCTTCACCTGGGGACATCTGCTGCCTTCCGGGGGGGACAGAAGGATGAAACATCCCATTGCACCCCTATAACTCTTCACCAGATGTTGCCGTACCCCGCGTTTGCCATCTCTGACCCCCCACAAGCCCCCCGTGCCTGCCGTTGGCACCGCGTCGACGTGCCCCGCAGCCCCCCCTCCCCACGGCGACCCCCCCCA